CGGGGCTTTTTGATCGCATAGAGGGGCATCGAGGTAGATCCTCCCAAAATCAAGGCCATCCTAGAAATGCCACCACCAAGGACTGAAAAGGAGGTGCGAGGCTTTCTGGGTAAAGTGCAATTCATTAGACGATTTATTTCCAAATTAACCTTTACTTGTGAACCATTATTTGGTCTCCTGAAGAAAGGAAAGAAATTCTGATGGAATGATCAATGTCAATTCACTTTTGAGCAGATTAAGCAGTACCTCCAGAATTTGCCTGTGTTATTGTCACCAGAGCCGAGGAAGGCTTTGATTTTGTATCTGTCAGTAACAAACACCACAATGGGATGCATGCTCATTCAAGAATCAGAGGACAGGGTGGAGAAAGCCATCTACTACCTGAGCAAGAACATGCTGGATTATGAGACCCACTATACTTCGTTGGAGAAAGCTTGCCTAGCCTTGGTGTAGGCTACCAGGAAAATGAGGCACTACTTGTTAGCTCACTCGGTAATTCTAGTTTCGAGATTCGATCCCATCAAATATCTATTTGAGAAACCAGCGCTTACGGGTAGGCTAGCTCATTGGTTGCTTCTCCTCTCCGAATTTGATCTCAAGTATGTTACCCGCTAGTCGGTCAATGGGAGAGTTGTAGCAGAGTTCCTGGAAGATCACCCAGTAGAAGGGGATAAAGCAGTGGAATATCTATTCCGAGATGAAGCCATTCTGCAAGTTGAGGAGGAGACTTGGACGATGTACATTGATTCAGCATCCAATTAGTATGGTTATGGGATAGATGTGTTACTGATAGCACTCGACGACTCCCATATACCTTTAGCCTTCAAACTACGGTTCGAGGTATCCAATAACGAAGCAAAATATTAAGCGTGTATCGCTGATTTAGAAGCCGCTCTAGAACTAGGGGCGAAAAGGTCTGACGCTATCGGGGACTCAAACCTAATTGTTTCTCAAGCAAATGGAGACTGGAAAGTCAAAGAAGAAAAGATAAAGATTTATCACCAGACCCTGGATGTTCTAATTCCTAGGTTTGAAAAGCTGACATTCACGCATCTACTAAGAGAGAACAATAGGTTTGCTGATGCTTTATCAACTCTATCTTCTATGATAGACATCCCGCTTGGAGTCTGGATGCGTCCGATTATCATTGGGCAGAGATACATGTCAGCCTATGAAACTATCGCCGCAATAGATGAAGCACAAGACAAAAACCCATGGTACTACGATATTTGGAACTTCTTGGAAAAGGAGATTTATCCACCAAGGGAAAATGCCAAGGACAAAAGGGGAATATGGTGAATAGCCGTCGAATTTATCATCTGCGGAGGTAAACTGTACAAAAGAGCTCATCTGGGAATGCACAAGTTGTGTGTCGAAAAAGAGGAATCAAAGTGCCTGATGGAGGCCATTCAAGGGGAGAGTGCGGAGCGCACATAAACGAAGTGATGTTAGCCCAGAAGATTCTCAGGCAAGGTTATTACTAGTCCACTGTGGAGGAGGATTGTATTTGTTTTGTTCAGTGATGCCACAAATGCCAAATTCATGCCAATCACATGAATGTCCCGGCGTTAAAACTGTACAACATGACTTCGCCATGGCCTTTCTCAGTCTGGGGGAATCGACGTTATTGGCACAGTCACACCAAAAGGGTCAACTGGGCATGAATACATCTTGGTGGCAATTGATTACTTTACAAAGTGGGTGGAAGCTCAGTCCTATGCAGTGTTAAAAGTATTGCATGTGGCCAAGTTCATCCGAAATAATATCATTTGCTGATATAGAGTCCCAAATGAGATCATATCAAATAATGGCTCCCACTTCAAGAAAGAGGTGATAAACTTGTTGGAGAAATACAATGTGACTTTTCACAAGTCATCTGCATACTGGCCGCAAACTAACGGAGATATAGAGGCCGCCAATAAGAACATCAAGAATATTTTGCAAAAAATGGTTGAGACCTACAAGGACTGGCTAGATAAATTACCATTCGCACTCTGGGGCTATAGAACTTCAATCCGAAATTCTACAAGGGCAACTCCTTTTTGTCTCGTCTATGGAATGGAAGCTGTTCTACCAATTGAAATAGAAGTCTCGTCACTGCGAGTTATGGCTAAGTGTCAGATAGTAGAGGCGGACTAACAATAGAGCAGATTCGAAGAGCTGATGCTGTTTGATGAGAGAAGACTAAGAGCATTGTATCACGTTCAAGGCAATCAACGTAGAATTGCTAGGACGTTTAACAAGAAAATCAATTCTCGGAATCTTAAAGAGGGAGATGTGGTGCTGAAAGACAACCGAGCTCCCATCCATGACCCTAGGGGCAAGTTCAGACCCAATTGGACTGGTCCTTACATCATCAAAACTATCTTGTCAGGTGGAGCTGTTATTCTCATGGACCTGGATGGCCAAGAATTTTCCTAACCGATCAACATGGACAAGTTGAAGAAATACTATCCCTGAGAGGCTCGCTAGTCCGAAAACCCAGAAGGGCGACCTAGGCAAAAGTTAGAGCCTAAAAAATTAGAAATAAAGAAAAACTGAGCTCGCAAGGTTAAAAACCCTAAAGGGAGGCCTTGGCAAAAGTTAGATCGCAAAAGAAGAGAGTTAATACTCGAGTGAACCGGAACAGAACTACGTAAGGCCCGATTCCCATTTTCGGGATACGTAGGCAACTTCGTCTTGAAGTTCAGCCGTAAACACCTCCAACTCAACTGTCCTGTCCATGTGTTTGATCAAGTCATCTTTGTCTATCTTTCACCTGAGAATTCAGTTGTCATCTTCACTTTGAGAGAAGAGCTGGTTACAATGCAGAGCAGTGGTGTTCAATCAAGGGTAGTTATGATCTTTTGGATTCGGAGATGTACATCTTGAGGATTGACTCCATGCGTGTCAGGTGGTGATCCTTTTCGAAAATGGTTTTGCAAATAAAAGTTGATTTTGTTCAAATTTTACCTATTACAACTTAGACCATTTTTGGACCAAAAGGAAAATTTCCAGTGCTCATAACTTTAATTTCATTGATTTCAACTTAAAGTTCTCCAACTCTTCGATACAAATCAAAATTGTTTTTATTACATCGAAAAACTTGAAAAGAAAGGTCAAAGTAATAAATTATGGGCATAGGCGAATCAAGTGCTCCTGCGTCCTCAGCTTGTGCTTGTGCAAGCTTCTGAAGCCAAAGTGGGCTCGGTTTGTGCCTCATCCTCGAGCCAAGCCAAGCATTCGCCAAAAAGGGCACAACTGAAACTAGGGGCAGGGGCTAGAAGCTCTCTCGTTCTCCAAGCAATGAGGTACTTGGCCAAGTGTGAACCACGGATGGGGAATGAAACTGGGTACTCTACCCTCTCTTCTAGGCGAATCTGATCATGCCCAAACTGACGTCTAAACCAGAAAGGAAAGTAGAACACACAGTGTATGAGGCCGATCAGCTGTATTCCAGGTTGCTGAGCCATATTGTAACTCACCTCGGTCAAATTAAGCCAGGGGCGGCAGCGCCAAGCTATGTCAGCAGCAGACCTGTTGCACATCCAATAGAACCACCATCCCTTATTCAAGAAATCCACTAGTCGGAGGCAGAAGAAATAGCCTCGAGCTAAGTACTTAGGGCAAGAGTCCACTACCTTCAGCTTATCCGTAAGCCACACCTGGGAAGGGATGAAAGAAAAGAGAGATTAAATAATAGAGAGATGTATGTTAAGAGAAAAGTAAGAAAAGGGCTTTGAGAGAAAAAACAGAGCATGAGTGTCGAGTGATATGAGATATACATATCAGAAGTGTGGGAAACAATACCTGAAGAAGTAGTGGGCTCCCCACAAATTTGGTCGTCTCCCATCGATTAAAAGTGTCTAAGCCCATCAAAGTCTTGGCCAGTGCCAAACCAATGCAAGTCCTGCCTTCTTTCAGGCCTTACGCCATCTTGATCAACTAAATGTTGGACCCGCCAAAACTAGGAGCAAAAAGGAAATGAGCAAGCATACACAAGCATAGGGCATCTTGCCGAAAACCTCACCAGAGAAGGTCGCCTTGGTCACCGGTGTCAGAAAATTGATGAATCAAGCTAGGAATGTCTAGCTCTCCATTCTGGGCCAGAGATCGAGCCTCGTGCATAGTAAGCCCACACATCCATCCCAAAGCTTGGGTGTGGCCAAAACAGGGCTGAGGCATATTTCCTCATCGCACCGGGATGCCATTAGCGCCTGAAATTCTCCAATTGTCGAGCATATTTCTTGTCCTGCAAAGCTAAAGACGTGTGTAATCGGGTCCCAGCATCGTGCCGCGGCATGAAGGAACGGAAAACAAAATGAAGTTCGGCTCAACGGAAAAATTGCATTTATGTCGAAACCCCAGAAATTCACCTTTTCCGAGCCGTCTACAGCAACTATCCAACCCGAGAGCTTTTCAGCAAAAAAATGGCTCCATTTGTGAAAAAATTATAGGTGAAATGCAGTTTTGGAGAAGAATTCATGAAGCTCAACCTTTTGTAGAAGATAAGGCAATGAGTTGAAGCCAACTATCAACAATCTGGAGGCACTTCACATTGATAGCCGGCAGGAACCCGAAAGACCACCTCTTGCGGCCGGCATATGGCCGGTAGGCTCTATCTCTGGCCAGCAGCCTCCTTTTCAGGCTTGACTATCCACCTGTGTGCTAGGCAATACTGAAGGCATGTGTTTTGTATTTGATCTTTGAGTATTTTAAGGTCTTGTTTTGAGTCTTTTTGGTTTTAGCAAATTTGTTTCTTTTGCTTTTGAATTGTTTTGTTTTTGTTTATTGAGTTATATTTTGTATTTTGTATTTTGTATTTCGCTTGTTGGTCGGTTCATTACCCGATTAAGAACATGTTTTAATCAAGTGCTCTTAGCCAATTCAATTCCATGTCCATTTCATATGGTGTTTCTGATGCAAATATAATAACACTTTTTTCTATAAAAATTGTGAGGTTTTATTCCGATCATGGTTTTTACAGAAGAGGAGTACAAGTTTTAAAGCAAAATAAAACCTATCTAGAGCTATACATGTGCTAATGCTACCAACCAAAAAGAAACTAAGCAAAAATAAAAAATCAGCACCAGTAGCGTCATGCTCGAGAGGCCCTCTTCGTCCTCTTCCACAGAGGAGAAGACTTTGGGGCACTATCTCCATCAGCGCCGCTGTCTGATTCAGTCTCTAAGCCAGAACCAGAGCTGGCATCGTCTCCGCTCTCTGCCCCAGAACCCTCCTCTGCATCATCGCCTCCGCTCTCGGAACCCAAGCTAACATCATCATCTCCACTCTCGGACGACTCAAAATGCGGACTCACTGCCCCTACGGAGTCCCTGGTCTCAGCCTCATCATGTCGCAAGATAGGCTCTGGAGGACTGCTCTGGCCTCGGGTACCCTTATCTCTCTGCCTCTCCTCCCTGCTACTGGAGGGGGTACTGCTAGTGCTGGTGCTGCTGGAGCCATCGGTATCGATGGAATAAGAAAGTGACGGTTGTCAACATATTAGTTATAGTGTGTGTATCAGATGCAAGCATAGTATACAGAATGAGTGTATGCAAAAATCAATTATAGTGTATGAGTACAGTGTGTGAATACAGTGTGCCAATGCAGTGTATCAGTGTAGTTTAGAACAAACTACAGTTAAAATACTAGTGCATCAATGGAAAGATGATAGCATGAAGTACAAACTGAAGAAATTACCGGGATGCCAAGGAGACCGAACAGCGTCTCCCTCCTCTGCACCATACCCATGAAGGAGGCTATCAACTTGAGATCGCTCCCTGTGTACTCCATGGATGCTTGCAAATGCATTTGGATGATCAGTGTTCGCAATAAACATATCTAAAATGAAATGTGGGGTGCAAAAGTATGGTCCATACCTTAGTCGGGCCTCGAATCCGACAAGCTCATGCTCAGCCGTTGCAGGCTCAATCGGGACTTGGTAAGCAGCCCCGGTATGCCGTCAGCATGTGAGTGCGGTAGGAAGCACTGGCTAACGGGTGCTCTACTCTACACGAGCAGCCCCTCTAGCACGGGTCCTGGTCGCCCTAGGTGCCTCTTTCGCCGCGGGAGCCCTCGCCCCCTCGCCTTCGCGAGCGCCTGTCAGAGGTCGCATGAGACATGTTTGGATAAGGTCGCGTAGTCGCCCTCTGCCTTGATGTAATAAGCATTCAAGCCCACCATGAACTGTGTAACTACATCAACGGATAGGCTGCCTGCTGATCTCATAGGCTCTGTCAGTGGCATTGAAACGATCGAATCTAGTAAGCCCACAGTCTGACAGACGAACAGCTCACTCAAGAACGAAGCCCAGAAGACTGGGCCCTCAAGTAGAATGCGAAAGCACGACATGGCCCAGGCCCCTGCATACTACTCGTGTATCCCAGCCGGCATCATGGCCTAAGGTTGCCATATGATCTGTAAATAGAGTGTGTACAGATTGTTAGTTTATTTCAGTTTCTAAAGTGTGAATCGTAACAGTTGTAAAGTGAAACTGACTATGTTTTGGGTTACCTCGCGGGCAGCCATTATGTCAAAATAATTGCGAAAGAATACGAACGACTCGCGGCTCCAATGCCGACATCTGCCATCATATCGCTTCGAGTAAGGAACGGTCAGTGGGAGCTCCTCCATGGGCTCTAGGGCAAGACCTGAAAAATATGCATAAACCCATAACTGTAAGCAAAAAGTAGTGATATGTGTTCAACAATGTCTGAACAGATGCAGAAAGTGCAAAGCAAAAAGCACAGGTGTTGAACAGATATAAAGCAGAAAATGTAAAGTGCAAAGAGGAAACTAAAATGCATACCTCCCAAGCTCGCCAGTAGCCTCCGATCAGCTCTCCCCTCACGCGGATATAAAGCTTACATATTCGTACCGGGTAGCAAGGCCAGCTCCGCTCCAGTCATAGAAGCCACTTGGGCAAGGGTCACCAAGGCACTCAACAGATACAAGCCCATGATGTTCCACCTGTTCAAAAACAAGGTGGTACCAAGGACAAACATTAGGAAGCCTGGGGTACTCCATCTCCTCTAATGTCTCCGGCTCGCTTCCTCTAAGCTGCTCAACAAACTAGCTATATCTGTCCATAGTTGTTTGGTACAAAGGTGGACACGCTCCTAGCAGCTCTATCCAAGCCGCCTCTCACTCCCCCATGTCGGTGTCAAATGGGATTGGATCACCCCCCATTCCTAAACTGGTGATCATGGCAAAGTCGTAAGGAGTGATCATCATCTCCCCAATAGTGGAGAAGTGGAAGGAGTTGGTAGTGTCCCACCACCTCTCCACAATCGCACCTAGAAGAGGATGGCTCGTAATAATCTGTGTTAGGCCGGAGCAGAAAAGGCCGAAGCCAGTCTCATCCATAATGTCATGGACCCCTGCAGGGAGCTCGTCATACCAATCTCTCGCAGTCGTAGCTCCGTAGCCTCTAAAGGCACGAGCCTTCCCTTGTGGCAAAGAACAGATGAATTAGATAAGCCAGTGATGAAAGTACAATCAGATGGGAAGCCAGCTCCCTCAGCAGAAGGTCCTCCGGTGCACTTAGATCAAAGTCGTTAAATCATCTAATGCCTCCGGGTGGCAAGATATCTATGCGGAGATAATACCTCGCTAGATTAAAAGGTCGTACCCTCAATGGTAGTAGGTCCAGCTCAAGCTCAGGCTCAAAGTCTGCCTCGAGGTCGACCTTAATACCCTAAGCCGCCTCGCCAGTGTCACCAACGACCGGCTCCTCTACTTCAATAACAAGTGGGAATGTGGGGGAAACCTCAGGAGGGGCCCCGTCAGGTGGTAAATCATCTGCCATTTGGAAAATGGGTGAAAAGTAGGTGAAACGTGAAGAAAAATGATGAAAATAGGGTAAACTTGGAAAAAGTCAGCCCTATGAGAGAGAAAATGGGAGAAAAAGTCTAAGCCCAGAGAAGTTCACGAAACTTGAGGAAAACAAGCCTAGAAGGGTGAAAATGAGGAAAAAAGTGTCGAAACCAAATTTTGATCGGTTCAAAAGTATGAGAATCAAGAGGGTTTAGCGAAGAAAATATGCGCGGAGCATTGGAAAACGTATAAAAAGCTCGGATCTAGAGAGGGAAAGTGTCTAAAGAGAGAGGGAAGAATTTTAGTCCTAGCGAAATGAGGAAATGAAGAGTCTTGATGTATACTTAAAAACCCGTGAGTGAAATGTCCAAAAAACCCCCCAACTGCCATCAGTGGCCGGCAAGGCCTTTTGATGGCCGGCAGATGACTGGCATCCTCCCCCTGTGGCCGGAAAGTGGCCTGTGGCCGTTCTCTATGCCTTGATGTTGTTTTGTGTCTTTGTCTCCCAAGAAGTGCAAGGAAGGTTCATTGTTGGGTTCAGATTGTTTCTAAGGGAGCTCAAAACTGTGTTTTGGCACACGATAGCATTGGAAAACGTATAAAAAGCTCGGATCTAGAGAGGGAAAGTGTCTAAAGAGAGAGGGAAGAATTTTAGACCTAGCGAAGTGAGGAAATGAAGAGTCTTGATGTATACTTAAAAACCCGTGAGTGAAATGTCCAAAAAACCCCCCAACTGCCATCAGTGGCCGGCAAGGCTTTTTGATGGCCGGCAGATGACTGGCATCCTCCCCCTGTGGCCGGAAAGTGGCCTGTGGCCGTTCTCTGTGCCTTGATGTTGTTTTGTGTCTTTGTCTCCCAAGAAGTGCAAGGAAGGTTCATTGTTGGGTTCAGATTGTTTCTAAGGGAGCTCAAAACTGTGTTTTGGCGCACGATGTTCATCACTTGTCAACATGAATGAGGTGTATCCTTTTGAACATAATGCAATTCCTCCGAAAGATAACTCGAAGGTGCCACAGAGTATTGTTTTATTCAATTTAAGCTTTTGTTCTTTTCTGTTGCATAAAATGTGCATCCTATATTGTATGCATATCTCGCATCATTTATATTTCGCAAAGAATATGCTTTTGTTTCTTGCATGGAATATGCTTTCAATTAACATTATACGTCGGTTGTCTATCTCGCATGGTGTATACTTTATGCATATATCGCACTTGTTCACCTTTGTGCATCTATCGGTCACCTCTCTGTTTCATCTCGAGATGCGTGTGAGCCCGAGCAACTTTTCTTATCTCAGGAAGCGTGACGAGCAGCCCTAGGCAGGTTGGGACTCGTGAAGTGCGAGCCCGAGCGACTTTTCTTGTATCTTAGGACACGTGACACACGGCCCTAGGCGTGTTGTGTCTCAGGACTCGTGAAAACCGTGTCCGAGCGACTTTTGTCGTATCTCAGGAAGCGTGACGCGCGGCCCTAGGCACGTTTTATCTTGGGATGCGTGAAATACGATTCCAAGCGGTTTTCTTATCTCAAGACGCATGACGCGCGGCCCTGGACGGGTTTCATCTATGGACACGTGAAATGCGAGCCCAAGTGGTTCTCTTGTTTCTCAGGAGGCGTACAATGCGAGCCCGAGTGAATTCTTGTTTCTCGGGACACGTGAAGCATGACCCCAAGCGGCTTTTCTTTGTTTCTTAGGATGTGTGAGGCACGATCTTGAGCAATTTTTTTTTATTTATCTTGAGATGTGTGTAACACGACCTCGAGCAGTTTTGTTCTCAGTATCTCAGGATATGTGAAACGCAACCCTGAGCAGTGTTTTCTTTCCTCGTCTCTTGTTTTGGCATGATTAGAGTGTGTTTTATATTTGCATGAAGCCTATTGGTTTTAAGCTTGAAGTTGCTCATTCTTTTGTTTATATCTCACTTATCGTATCTTGCTTATTGTATCATCTCGCATGTTCATGAGTTTTCAAAATAGCTTGCTTTACGAAACGTGTGAGTCCAGCTTTCAAAATTGCATTGTGCATATCATTTGTATCTTGCCCCAGAACTACGCTGGTTTGATTCCTTGCAAAGGGATACGTAGGTAGCCTGCGGGCGCGACCATTTATTTATGTCTTGATTGTTTGTCCAAGTCTTACGGCCTTGCCAAAATGGGTCGTCTCCAGGGTTTGACATTCACTCACGTCATTTCATGACTCCGAGTTCTATCAAAGAGGGGCAACTATAGACACCCCATTTTCGATGGCCATTATGACTTGGACGTCATTGCATGCACATCTGATGATGAGTCAATATGCTTGTCAAGTGCTCAAAGTCCTCAGCGGAATGCCACAACTTTGAGCCTTTCAAATCCTGCACCCCTGTTGCCTCATTCTTGGACCAAGCCATGGTTCTTCAAGCCTGCAGCTTCTGGTGCCTTGTCGGCCGCCTTTTTGGGCTGCCGGCCATCACTTCTTGGTTGCCGGCCACTGATGTGGCCTACCGGCCACCAGTGATGGTTGGCCGGCCACCAGTTTCTTTTGTAGATATTTTGTGACAGATGTGCCAACTGTTTGCACAGATGCATGCATTTGCCCTCACGTGTAGGATTGGATGTTCTTGACGAAAATTCATGTTTTCTATATGTAGGAGGCCTCTCTCTCTCATGTTTTAAGGTTAGAAAAATTTGAGATCAAAATTTTTCCTCTCTCTATAGCAAATTTCTACACTTTTGCCTACAAATCCTTAACCTTTGCCTATACACCCTTAACCAAATCTTCTCATCTTTGAGCTGAGGTGCCTTTGAGGCTTGTTTGAGCTCTTCAGGGTGTTGTTTGCTTGGTTTTGTTGCTTCCACTTCATGTTCTCTTCAAGTGGTATAAGGCTTTGCTGATTCATTTGCTTTGTTTACTCCTTTTCTTGCAATTTTCCAACTATTTTTGGGCTATAAAACTTTTTTTTTGGGGGGGAGGGGGAGGGGGGTTGAAACTTGGGTTTTAAGGCCATTAAAGGTTGGGGGGGTGGCTCACCCTTTTTTGTACCTGGTTTTGAAGGCCTTTGCCCTTGTGTTTCCCACCATTGCATCATCTTTTTCTAAGTTTTTAAACACTGATTTTCAGAGCTTTTTTAGTGGCCAAAATCACGTGTTGAAGTCCAAATTTGGAGGGGTTAGCCTCCCCTCCTTGTGTCTTGCTTACTAGCCTAGCATGTGCTATGTTTTAGACTAATAATCTAGCTATTTTTATCTCAATTCCGGCATGTTTTAGGACTTATTTTAGACTATTTTAGCACTATTTTTGGTTGATAGTTGCATTTGAGCTTTGTTTTGCATAGGGGTTTATTATAAATGGCATGACATCTCTTTCATGTCTTAAGTTAACTCTTGGTTTGGTACTTCACTCCATTGGCGGACTTAAACTCACCATTGGACTCAATTTAATAAAGAATGGATATTAATAAAGAATGGATATTAATCTAAAATGGAGTAATAAAATTGAGGCTAAAAATAGTGAAAGATAATAATTTGGTTGCGCTCAATCGGACGTTAATTGAATACATGGAAGCTTGAGGTATTTCATACTCATTAATGATGAAATGGTTCATGTATCCAAGGTCACCACTTCCCTTGATCCATTCATGAAAGGGAAGAGGTATGATTCTTATTTTGTTGCATTTATTGAACTTGCAAACTTTGGTTCACAAGCCATCATGCAATGAAATTGCTTGAGTTGGTGGTTTGTGACTTAAGTTCACTACTCCTTTGATTTGTTCATGAAAATGAGGGGTGAGTTGTGCAGACAACCCTTGAGAATACCATGTGCGTGCTCTGTTTGTTCTCTGTTGCAGCAAGTGGAACCCTGCAGCAGTGGTCGACAGGCCACCTTTGATGGCCGGCCGGCTATCACTGGTGGCCGGCAAGCCCTCATCACTGGCCGGCCAGCCATTGATGCAAAATTCAACAGTCTGTTTGTTCAGCAGAGTAGAGTTATTCTAGAAGTAAGCAGCAGTGTATGTGTTCTCTGTGCAACAGAGGCTCTCCGGAAGCAAAATAGTGGCCTTTTCGAGTGGAAACCGAGCATGCGTGTGAACATCTCTCACTTCCCAATGCGGAGCAGTTAGTGTAGTGCTTAATTGTTTAGCTTAATTACTTCTTTTAATTGCACTTGTGTTGTAATTATTTAATTAGTTAAAGTAGTTAACTAGTTGCTATGTTGTAATCATTAATTAACTAGAATAGTTAGTTAATTCATTTGTTGTAATAATTAGTTAAGTAGTTTAGCTAATTTCATTTGCTTTGTACTAATTAATAATTAGCTTAGTTTCAGTTACTTAGTTAGCTAGTTAGTTCATTCGGACTCTCCTTCGTGAGAGTGCAATGTTGTATTAACGTGTATGTCTTCTAACCCTACGTCTTTCTCCTTTTTATTTACTAGCTTATGATGGTTAGTTTTGGGACATCATGTTTCAATTAGCATTCTTCATGTTTGCATCCATTTGTATTGCATGTACCGAGGCTCGGTTCATCATTCTAACTCACATTGTTGTTTTCAATACTTCTTTGAATACATGCTTAGATTGCATGTTATCAAAATTGTTTCATATGCCATATTAGTAGCCGAGCCTATTTAGATTGCATATCGCATGTGTTGCATTAGTCATATTGCATAAAGTTAGGATCATTCATTTTTCTAACCCTTTTGATTATTTTTGCTTAGAGTACTAGGTGAGCCTTTACTCGCTTTGGCATAAATCACATGCGTGTGATTGTTGCCATATCTAGCATGCTTGCTATGAGGCTAATTGCTTAAGTGATTAATTGCTTGAATGCTTATGAATAAAGGCTTGTTACTTGAATTGGAATAATTTGAGTAATGTTTATATGCGATCACTTTTTCAAGTGGTACATATTTCAAAACAAACATGAATCAAGTGTTCCAATTCTTGCAAAATTAGTCTATACTTATGTGTGTGCGCATCACATAGTAATGCTAGCTTAATAAATCGGAACAAGTGCATATAATGTACATAAGATTCATATCACGATTAGTAAAGGTTGATCTTTGATCGGGCGAGTGAGGGTGCTCAATTTATTCATGACCTTCCCCTCTTGTACCCAAGTTCCTGAGCCGAGACAATCTTGGTGATGATGGACACGTGGCCTTTGGCACGAGTCATAGGTTTCCTAAATTTCCCCAAAACATAAAATATTTAGGTAGCGACTCTGTATCTGGCAAAGTAGTCCATTTTTGAAAATTTGATTCAAAATCGATTTTCCAAAAGATTTGCTGGATTTGGACTCTTT